CTGTGCTAAGCCCTGGGGAAACAAATTTAAAAGAGAAAGATAATCCCTGCACTCAAGGAGTTCACAATCTAAGGTGGGGGGAGCTAAAACACAAAAGAAAGCTGAATGGGGGTGGTGGGGTACCTAGGGTTACCTGAGTGGGAGGCAGAAGAGGAGAGAAGTGGTGGTCCTAGACTCATCATCTCCTGAGGCTCTGGGGGCCTGGAAAGGATCTCCCAAGTACTATGGGAAGGCAGGTGGGGTTAGGGCTGAATGGTTTGTCCTCCCTCTTCCCGATCGGAGGAGGCCTCTCTGCCTTCCCTGAGCTGCCCTTCCCCCTCTTTCTCTCACATTATCCACTTCAAAAGGTCTTTCTATCCCCTCCCCCCACCCCCACCCCCAATTTTTGGAGGAAGATGACACACTGAACCATTATGGAGTGTGATTTATGACTCTGACGGGAAAGGAGAAACACAGACTATTTCTGGGCTGGCTTTTTATTGGTTTTGGCTTCTGGCAGAGGTAAGGATGACGAGAGGAAGGGAAGGGAAGAGAGACACACAGACATATCCAATCACAGACTGACGTGCAGTCGCTGGCACACGGAGAAACCCATATGCTGGCATGTGGAGACACAAACACACACGCACAGATGCTACGTACACTCAATCCTATAATCAATGGAGACATATTCGCCGACATACATATACATAGTACCGGCTGAGACACTTTAGAGGTGATGTCATTGTGCAGAGGGTACAGGAGGCACAGTCAGGAAGACCTGGGTGTGAATCCCACTAAAATACTGGGTGTGTGACCCTGGGCAAGTCATTTAACTTCTCTAAATCTCGGTTTCCTCATCCTAAAGAAGAGGGGATAATAATAGCACTTACCTCCCAGGATTGTTGTGAGGATAAAGCTATTTGTAAACCTTTTTGTTATCATTCAGTTGTGTCTAACTCTTCATGACCCCATTTAGGTTTTTGTTGGCAAAGATACTGGAGTGGTTTGCCATATCCTTCTCTAGGTCATTTTACAGATGAGGAACTGAGACAAACAGGAGTGAGTGACTTGCCCAGGGTCACACAGCTCATAAGTTTCTGAAGGTAGATTTGAACTCAGGTCTTTCTGACTCTATCCACTGCACCACCTAGCTGTCCAAACCGTCCAAACCTTGGTGAATCATATAATGTCAGCTATTACAATTGTTATATATTGATTTCAGGAAAGGAAAGAAGAAAGGTCGAGAGTCAGAATGGGCCCCTCTCCTTTCCTCTCTCCCTTTGGGCTCCCTTTACTCCTCCTCTGCTTCTGCTTCCTCTTGTGTCAAGAATGTAATGGATTTTTTTAAAAAAATGTTTAAATAATAAAAAAAGAGTGTATTCGATAAGTTCATCACCTGGGTAGTTAGGGGACCAAGCATGTGACCCATCTGAGGAGGGGTTGACTTTTTAAAGAGAAGCCTGGAGAAGGCAGTGTCTCAATGGCACAAGGCTCCTAAAGTGAGAGGCCAAAAATTGCTCCCTTCACATGAGGCTGAACCTATCTGAACTCTCCCAGAAGATTCTGGGCTCTGCTTCCAGGATCCGACCTTCTTTTGCAGCCCTTTTGCCTAGTTAAGCACCCCTTCCACCCTTCAACCAATCTTTCCTGACAACCCTTGGGGACCCAGTCTAACCCTCAGAAATAACGTATGGAGACTGTACCAGAGGAACAGATCTAGGCCCTGCCCTCAGGGAGTCCACAGTCTGGAAAAGTGGCCCTTTTAAAAGCAAGACATTACTCCTCTGATTGTGAGCTCTGAAAGCTGAGAAGAAAGTCAGCCCTAGAAGAACCCAGCTCCTGAGAGGGACGTGGTCCTTGACTCTTGGGGAAAAAGGGGATTTCCTGCTCCTCCCCTTGACTCTTCACCAACAGCCAAGTCACAGAGTCTTTCCACAAAGGAAGAGGCACCATGAACAGCAGGAAGCAGGTCTAGTGAGCTCAAGGCATAAGACCAGAGAAGCCTTGTGAGTCAAGAGAGCCCTGACTATCAGGGGCTAAGGAGAGAATCAGGTGTAGGAAGCCCAACTGAAGGACCCTCCCAGGTCCTGCTGTAAGCAGTAGTGATGCTGCAGTGGGTGGGACCAGCACAAGGCATCGTGAGAAGGAGAAGGGGGCATTAGGGCCCTATGAGGACAGAGCTGCCTGGGCTACATGTATTCTCTACATGTGCTATTTCTCTGCTAGGATGCTCCACATGTGTATCCACTCTTCCCACTCATGGGAAGGGGTTGCCCAGAGGGTTCTACTCTAGAACTCTTCAAGTGAAGGCTGTATAACCACTTGCCTCTTCACTAGCTCTACTCCAAATCATCCCAAAGACCACTTGCCCTGGCCCCTCCTTTCCTGTTTCCATGAATTTTTCCAGCCTTGGAGTGTATGATCCCAATCCAAATGTGTGGTACACAACATCACCCCACCAGGGAAGGGCTGAGGCAAGGCATGATGAACAACAGCCAGAATGCCCATCTCCCTAGCCTGTGTCTGAGACATTCATCACCCCTTAAAAAAAATGATTTCAGGAAAGAACTAACTTCCTTGTGTAGACAAGGGGAAACCTAGACCGTGTCAATGTCTTTCTGCAGTAGGGGTTCAGCTGGAGAAGAGTCCTCCCCCAGTGTGGAACCTCTGACTGGTAGATTTTCTTCCTATGTCTGAGAAGTTCTTACCCCACCCTTCATTAAGTATCCAAACACAGAATCTCAGAACAGGAAAGGAGCTCAGAGACAGTCTAGCCCAATCTATAGCTGAAAAAGAATCCCATTATATTTCTATTTTGGGGGGGCAGCTAGGTGGCGCAGTGGATAGAGCACCAGCCCTGAAGTCAGAAGGACCTGAGTTCAAATCCAGCCTCAGACCAAACACTTGACATTTACTAGCTGTGTGACCCTGGTCAAGTCACTTAATCCCAATTGCCTAAAAACAAAACAAACAAATATATTTCTTTTTTTTTAATTTTTAAAATTTTTCTTTCTTTTTTTTCTTTTTTAATTTTTTTAATTTTTTTTTCATTTATGATATTTCTGACAAGAAAGCATCCAGCTTGAAGACTTGTAGGAGGACGAACTCATTACCTCCTAAGACAACCACTTCCCTTTGGAGATAGCTGCAATTGTTAGCAAACGTTTCTTTGCATCAAGTCTAAATTTGCAGTTTCTACCCATTGCTACCCTCTAGCATCAAGCAAAGCAAGTCTAACCTTTCTTCCACATGAGAGCCTTTCAAATACTTGAACAATTGCCCAAAGACTTCTCTTCCAATGGCTAGACATCCCCACTTTCTTTAACCAGCCTTCTTGTGCATGGAAAGAGGGCTGGGGCCAGAAAGAGAGAACCTGGGCTCGAATTTGGCCTCTAATGCCTACAACCTGTGAGACGTTGGGCAAATCCTTTCACTTCCCTAGCCTCAGTTTCCTTATCTATAAAATGAGGGGGTTGAACTAGATGGCACCTGAGGGTCCTCCCAGATCTAGAACTATAATCCTATGGCATGAAATCCAGGCCTTTTATCATTTCAAAATTTGCCCTCCTGTCAAATCAGACTCTTCAAAAAAAAAACCCACCTTCTTTCACATTCTTCTCTTTTTGCTTGGGACACATGCAGGCCCAGAGTGAAGTGTGTATGTCTCTGCATGTGTGTGGGGAAGGAGGGTAGTAATTTTCTTTGGTGAGGGGTCCTGTTCCTTTGGGAGGAGCCCAAATCCTTGGGAGAACTCAGTCTACAAATGCATCAGCTGGAGCCAGGCTTACAAATAGCTGATTCCTTTGGCTTAACTCTAGCAGCAGCATTGAAGAGCTCAAGGCTGTGTTCCATTATCTTGTCATTTCTTATAGCAAATGTACCTACACTATAATGTGAGAGGATTTTCCTTGTAGGTCAAAGGTAGGTTAGAAATAAGATTGTTAATGGGGAAATGAGACAGAAATTGTATTTGGAAATTTCCTTGGAGTTTAAATAATGGTGAGGGCAGAGGACAAGCTGAATTTGTTATCAATCTAGGAATTAGTCTACGCAGATGATTCTTAGACATTTTAAAACCCTAAGCCAAGTCTAGAGGAACCTGGGCCAAGGTAAGAGAGGCAAATGTTCGCTGCATTTAGAACTTACTAACTCTCCTAGTTTGTCCAAGTGGGAGAAATTCTTCGTTTCTCTACCTGCCTTTAATAATGGGATTACATTTTTCATCTCATGAGGTTCGACTGTCATCAATATACATGGCATAAACCATGGATCCATAACAGGTCTCATCCAATTTGTTCCCTTTAGGGATGAAAAGACTGAGGCCCAGAAAGGAGGAAAGCATTTGCCCAACGGTCTTGCCTGCCTGGCTACCAGCCCCGGAGTCTTTGCAACACACCACATCATGGTTGTTCAGTCGTTTTCAGTCATGTCTGACTCTTCATGAACCTTTTGGGGTTTTCTTGGCAAAGATACTGGAGTGGTTTGCCGTTTCCTTCTCCAGCTCATTTATAGGTGAGGAAACTGAGGCAAACAGGGTTAAGTGACTTGTCCAGAGTCACACAGCTAGTAAGTGTCTGAAGCCGGATTTGAACTCAGGAAGATGAGTCTTCCTGACTCCAGGCCCAGCACTCTATCCACTGTGCCACCTAGCTTCCCCATATACTATATTACCTCCTCCCAATTCAATTCATTCATTTATTCATTCATTATTCATTAAGGCAGGTAGGTTTGGGGGAGGGGGGAAGGAGTCAGGAACACCTGACTTTAAATCCAGCCTCAGACAATTACTAGCTGTGTGACCCTGGGCAAGTCACTTAACTGCCATCAGCCTCAGTTTTCTCTTCTGTAAAATGAGACTGATAATACATAGCCTTTAACTCCCAGAATTGCTGTGAAGGTCAAATGAAATAATAAGTGTAAACCTTACCTGAGAGTACGACACACAACTATATAAACTAGCTACTATTATTATTCATCCAAATATTTATTAAGTTCCCATTACCTACCACACTAAGCTTAGATAAGAAAAGAGTTCCTATTCTCACTAAGCTTGTGGTCTAATAGGCAGATAACTAATTACAATACATGGTATTATGTGAAAATAAAAGACTATATGGAATCCATGGGGAAAAGGACATTTCCAACCAAAAGGGTCATAGGTTTAGAGATCAAATCCACTCCCCTCATTTGGAAGGTGAGAGAGTGAGCCCCTGACATTAAGCAAGACTTAATGACTACCAGCTCTACCTGCTGCACTTTAGATCAGGGAATGCTTCATGGTGGAGGTAACAAGAGTCAATAACCAGCAGTGTGTGGTGCTGCTTCCTTCATCGCTGAGGCATGAATCTGGTAAACCCCCATCACCGAGTACATACGCTAGGCAGCTGATAACCGTTTGTTGACCTGAACCCAGGGAGGTATAGCTGAAAAACTGTGGGTGTCGGTAGGGGTTTGCCTGGCCCTAGTCCTTGATCTCAGGCCTGGGAAAGATGCCACACTTGCCCTGGGCTCTTTTGCCTATTCCAGGACCCCATCCTGGTGGCATGTCTGGCCTAGGGTGCTATAAAGATATGGGGAAGTGGAGGGGGGCGAGTGGCTCTCACAGGTGATTCCCAGATCCTGCCCTCCCCTAAAAGAAGATGAACTCCCCAACCAAGACTACGTAATTGTGGAGGGAGGTATCTCCAAGTCTCCCTTCCCACCTACATGGATTGACTTTGGCTGGGCCAAGGCATAGCTGACCAATGCCTGAGTTGGCCTCATTTCCTAAGGAATTCCTACTTCCCTTCTGGCTCATGTTCCCTGGAAAACTGTCTCCAGCCTTCTCCAGCTCATCCTCAGAAGTACAGACTTCCCTTCCACTGCCTGCTGGGCCCCTCAGGAAGCCACCCCACCCTTCCCCCCAGCATCTGGGAGGCTCCCAGAGAGGATCATGGGCCACAGAGCTGGAAGGGACAGGAGAGATGGAGTCCGCCTCCCCCATTAGACAGGCGAGGAGGCTGAAACTCAGCTACCTCTGACCTCCATATTTCACCCTTTGCCATTCAGGGGAGGCTGGACTTCAAAAGGCCTGGAGTTTCCGTCAGCTCTCAGTGATTTGGAGGGGTTTGCTGTAAGAGTAGAGAGATGCTGTGTTAGGGAAACTATATGGTTCCAATCCGCCCACTGATGCTGTGTGACTCTGGGCAAAGCCCTTAAACTCTCCGTGTCTAATGCAATTTCCTAACACTGCTTTATTACATTCTATTGGGACATAGATCCCCCTACAGTACCAGAAGCTCCCCCTCCAGTCCTCTTTACCATCCTTCTAAAAGTAGATCTTCCTAATGGTAAGATCATCAGCTCTCTCCATCTACAGTACCCTTTACAAGATGACTTTTATTTCTCAGACTGCAAGACGGCCAGTGGGGACTTCAAAGTGACTCTGGTCCAAACACCTCATTTTGCAGATGAAGAAACTGAGGCCCAGAGAGGAGAAGGTTCTTATCCAAAGTCAGCTGGTATAATAATGGTGCCAGATCATGAGGAGGCAGCTGGGTGGCACGTTGGATAGAGTTCCAGGCCTGGAGTAAGATCTGAGTTCAAATCCAGCCTCAGACACTTTTTAGCTGCATGACCCTGGGCAAGGCACTTTACCTCTGTCTGCCTCATTTTTCTCTAGTGTAAAATGGGGGTCATAATAGTACCTACCTCCCAGGGCTGTTGTGAAAAATCAAATAAGTTCATATTTGGAGAGCTTTGCAAATCTTAAAGAGCTACGTAAATGCTTGCTATTGTTATTGCTAAAATAAAACCAATATTTATATAACATTTTAAGGCTTTTAAAACACTTTCTGAGAGATAGCCCCTGACAAATCAGTTGTGCTAATATTATTATCCCAATTTTCAATGTAGAAACTGAGGCCCAGAGAGAGAATGGACTTACCCAAGGTCACATAGCTAGTTAGTAGCAGAGCAGGGACTCACAGTTGGGAGCTCTTTCCATTATGATCCATTGATGCCGCCTCCATCGCCTGGGAATTATCCAGATCAAGGCTTCCCTTCATTGTTTTTTTTTTATCACCGAGAGAGGATCGTATTTTATTGCACTTTATTATCCTGGATAAAACTAACTGAAAGGAGCCTGGGACTTGGACCCAGAAGGATTTTGGGTTCCAAATCTAGTTCTGTCACTTATGAGCTATGCGAACCCAGGTAAGTCCCTTTCTCTCTCTGAACTTCAGTTTCCTCATCTGTCAAATGAGGATAATAACACTATTTCACGGAGATATTAGCAAAGCAATTTGTAAATCCTAAAGTGTTCTATAAATCGGTCAATCAATAAGCATTTATTAAATGCCTACTGTATGCTGAGGGCAGCTAGGTGGCTTAGTGGATAGAGTGTGGGGTCTGATGTCAATAAGACTTCCTGAATTCAAATTTGACCTCAGTCACTTACTAGCTGTGTGACCCTGCGCAAGTCATTTAACTTTGTTTGCCTCAGTTTCCTCATCTGTCAAATGAGCTGGAGAAGGAAATGGCAAACCACTCCAGCATCTTTGCCAAGAAAACCCCAAATGGGGTTGTGAAGCATTAGACACAATTCAACAACAACAACAACAACTACGTGCTGGGAGACCCAAGCACCAGGGTTCAACAACTCTTTCCCTTAAAGAACTTATATTCTGGCAAGAGGGTGGGGAAGAACAGCATATATACAAAAGTAGATATTAAAAAACATATGCAAGGTAATTTGGGGGAGAAAGGCAGCTAGAAGGGATCAGGAAAGTAGGAGGTGATGTGTGAGCTGAGTTTTGAAGGGAAAGAGGATGTCTAAGAGGCAGAGGAGTGCATTCCAGGCATGAGGGACAGCTTGGACAAAGCTTTGGAAAATAAATATGGAAAGCTGTGTGTAAAAAATCAGAACTGTTGGAAAGAGGGAAGGGAGGGCACTTCCAATACAGAGAGGCTCTATATATAGGATCTCAAAGCACTCTCCTGCTGACCCACCCCCACCTCCACAGGCCTTTGAGCCCCTGAGTCACAGAAGGCTGGAGCCTGCCTGACAACCAGCTGTGATTTCCATCCATCTCTGTCCCCATGGGGACTCTCTGGGAATGACCAGGCTCCCTGGTGGTCCTGGCAGCTCCCAATGACTTTTTGCAGCTAACTAATTGGCACAGCATCCGGGCGCCTGCTAATTGGCTTCATTAGCCAATGCACCGCTCAGGGACCCAGAAAGAAGGCATCTCTAGGAAAACACTAGAGAAGCCCTGGCACAGCCCCACCCCCGTGGAAGCACGGTGGGGAGGGGGAGGAAGGGTGCCAGCTAATTGCCCATAGAATAAGACAATTAGGTCTGCTCACTTTGTTGTCTACTGAAGCTAATGAGAGACAGAGAGAGAGAGAGAGAGAGAGAGACAGACAGACAGACAGACAGACAGACAGACAGACAGACAGAGAGAGAGACAGAGAGAGAGAGAGACAGAGAGAGACAGAGAGACAGAGAGAGAGAGAGAGAGAGAGAGAGAGAGAGAGAGAGAGAGACAGAGAGAGACAGAGAGAGACAGAGAGACACAGAGAGAGAGACAGAGACAGAGAGACAGAGAGAGAGAGAGAAAAAAGAAGAGGAGAAAGAGGAAGAAAGAATAAAGAGAGAGAAAGAAGAGAGAGGAAAGAAAGACAGACAGAAAGGAAGGAAGGAAGAAGGGAGGGAGGGGAGAGAGAGAGAAGAGAAGAGGAAAAGAGGAGAGGGAAAAGAAAAGAAGAGTGAGGAAGGAGAAGAGAGAGAAAGAAAGAGGAGAGAGAAAGAAGAGAGAGGAAAGAAAGACAAAAAGAAAGGAAGGAAGAAGGGAGAGAGGAGAGAAATAGAGAAAGAGGAGAGAGGAAAAAGAAAAAAGGAGAGAGAGAAATAGGAGAGAAGAGAAGAAGAAAAGAGAAGAGAGAGAAAGAAGAGAGGGGGAAAGAAAGGAAGGAAAGAAGGAGAGAAAGAGGAGAGAGAAAGAAGAGGAGAAGATCGAGAAAAAGAAAGAGGAGAAAGAGAAAGAAGAAAGAAAGGAATGAAGCAAGAAGGGAAAAGGAGAGAGAGAGAGAGAGAGAGGAGCTAAGAACTTGTCCCCACAACTTTGGTTTAGAGGTAAAATCTACTCATTGCACTCTGCCTCCTCATCACCCGAAGCATTGAAGGAGACCTTGCAGGGCCCAGCTCAGGACCCATCTACTCCAAGTAGCCTTCAATGACCATACCAGTCCACACTGATCAATCTAACTTCTGAGATTCTAGCTATCTGTACTGTTCAATGGATATCTTATCACACCCAATCCTACTAATTGTTCTATAATTCCCAGTAACTCACTTGATCCCACATTATCATGGGGCCTCATTGTTTCCAGTGGGGGAGTCCTGTATCGTCTGGACTAGGAATTTCCTGAGGATAGAACAGCTGGTCTTCTCCTCCTTTCTCTCCTTCATGGGGAATTCCATGAGGGCAGGACCTGGCTCTGCTCCTCCTCTGACCATCACTTCCCCCCTCTCAGACTGGGGGGATCCCTTGTGTAGAGCTTGGAGCTAGAAGTTAAAAGAAGAGAAAGGATTCAAACCCAGAGCTTTTCCCCCAGATTATTCCTCTTCTTTACTACAGAGACAACTTGATATCATAGAAAGGGCTCTGGACTTGGAGTCTCCTGCCTCTGACCTTTATGGGTTGTGTTGTGTCCATGAGGAAGACATCAAATGAGCTCTCTGGACCTCAGTTTCTTCATCTGTAAAGTGGAAATATTAATATCCATAGTCTTTATCTCATAGGTTGCCCTGAGAATCAAAAGAGATAATGTATGTAAAACACTTTGCCAAAATACGATGTAAATGTCAGGTATCATTAAGGAGATGCACAATTAGAGAATAATCAATTTTGAGAACTGGAAGGGAGCTTAGAGTTCATGGAGTCCAGTCCCCTTTACTTTACAGAGGAGGAGAGAGGAAGGTCATGAAGGTCACAAAGGTCACAGAGCAAATCTGGGACTAAAGCCCAAGTTCCCAAACTCCCACCTCAGGGAGAAAAGGCAAGTGAAGAGAATGAATGGAGTATCAATCAACAAGTCTTCATTAAGCACTGCACTAGGCTCTGGGGTCTCAAATACCAACAACCAACCAGACAAACCCGACTCCCAAGGAGCTTTCAGGGAAGGAGAGGATTTGGGGTGAGTAGGCAGCAAGAATGGCTGATCATTCATGTCCAATTCATATACGAGGGCTGTGCCCTTAGACTTGGCCATGAAAAGAGAGAACAAAGACAAGAGAAAGAGACAGACAAGAGAAAGAAAGAGAAAGAACCAAAGCTGGAGACAGAAATTGGGGGCGGCACAGATTCTTACTCAGTGCCCTGGGGGTGGGGGAAGGCTTGGACATCCACACACATGGCCCCAGGGATGGCTGCAGACAGGCAGTAGTAGAATCACCAGCTAAAAGTTATAGGACTGCTAGCCAATAGCAGTGGCATGGCAGTGGAAGAAGGGAAGGAGGATTCTCTGGACAAACAGGGAAATTCTTGGAACAAGCCTGCTGGAGACAGAAGAGAAGTTTCTAGATCATGTGGGAGCCATAGCTAAGGAACAGCATGGGATAGAGCCACAACATGGCAGAACCAATCTAGAATTTGTCTTCCCTTGCTACCATGAGTTAGGAATCCTAGTGAGCAGGATTAACTCCTGCTCTCTAACATCTTTGACTAGAGGAGCTTCACCCCTGAAACTTGGGCCAACTGGCCACGAATCACCTCATCATCCTTGCCATCTGTGAAGAGGCAGAGGAAGTCCTAAGCCAGGGACATTCACATCTTACAGAAGAGCAAACCTCTTCAGGGGAATTTACCACCTAGTTAAAGAGAAACAAGATAATGGATAGAGAGAGAATAGAGTAGCTGGGTAGAGAGGGAGCTGAGAGATAAAAAGATTTGTATTCAAGTCCTGACTCTGACCTATACTGACTGTGAGACCCTAGACAAAACAGTTCAACCTCTCTGGGACTGAGGTAAGACTATAGCTTGCAAAGTATTTGCCTGTCTGCACTGGTAGTGGAATTTTCTTGCTGGGAGACCCCTAAACATTGTTAGTTGTGTGCAACTCTTCATGACCCCATTTGGTTATTCTTGGCAAAGATACTGGAGTGGTTTGCCATTTCCACCTCCAGCTCATTTTACAGAAGAGGAACTGAGGCAAACAGGGTAAAGTGACTTGCCCAGGGTCACCAAGCTAGTAGTAAGTGCCTGAGGCCGGATTTGAACTCAAGATAAGTCTTCCTAACTCCAGGTCCAACCTCTATCCACTTTGCTACCTAGCTGCTCCAAAATAATAAACACAAGAAGTATTAGAAAGGGATTTACCAGGTTCTACCTTAGCACACCTTCTATGTAATTTATCCTTTCTCCATTTGATTGTAAGCTCCTTGAAGGCAAGGACTGTGCTACTTTTCATCTTTGCTTCCCCAGAGCCCTACATTTAGATGCAAAATAAATGTTGAATTGAAATAGGAAACAGAATAATTATGCCTCTTTTGCAACTGGGAAAACTGAAGCTCAGAAGAGAGAAGGAACTTATTACATAATAAGTGAATGGCAAAGCAGAGATTTGAACCCAATTCTTCCCCACCCAGAGACTTAACTGGGAATTCCAACATCTGAGGCCAATTCATTCGTGGCCAGTGGAGGTGGGGGTGGTGATGGTGGTGGTGTTCAGTGATTTCAGTCGTGTCTGACTCTTCATGACCCCATTCAGGGTTCTTGGCAGAGATACTGGAGTGGTTTGCCATTTCCTTCTCCAGCTGGACCCCAGTATTCCCTCATTTCAGGTATCTGGTATGCCGCCATCTTTTCCTGATTTCAGGCATAATGGGGTAATACAAGTTCCCAGGTGTCATGAAGACAGCCCACTCTGGTCCAGTAAAGTTGGGTCAGTACAGCTAGAGGAAGGAGGTGATGCCCATATCCTGGGCAGGGGAGTCAACACAGGGGACCTAGGTCTAGGAAAGCATGCCTCCTCCAGATGGTATCCATTCATGTCTTACAGTCTTTCCCCATTATTTACACACACACACACACACACACACACACACACACACACACACACACACACACTCACATCAACCCCCTGGGACAAAGCTCCAGTGAACTAGTAATAGTTAACTCCTGCTCCCAGTACTGTTTTCCAAACCCAGGCATAGACAAACTCCAGCTCTTGGCTCTATGACCCTGCCTGATCCCTTGGGGCAGCCCATTTCTGTATCCAGCAGGAAATCGGCTGCCCTGGAGGTATAAATCCCAGAAATAAGGCCACTGCCAGAGGCTTCTGATGGCTCCTCTCCCCAGGCCCAGAGCTATTTGACAATTACCAAGTGTAATTACACACAATCGGGGGCCATAATTGCGAGCCGGCAGGCAGGGTATTTACCGGCAAACACTATTAATTTACTGTGCAATTAGGGAGTGCAGAGAGAGGGCTGGGAGGTACCTCCTGGCCCCACTCCCTGCCCAGAGAGAGTCAGGGCCCCAGAGCTTTCTCTCCATTTCTACAGAGCAAACATCTCCACCCAGCTCCCAGAGTCCTTACTGCCCAGAGCACTACGATGTGTGGCCTTCTGGCATCTCTCTTGTTGGTGTTTTGGACCATTTAAAACTCTTATTGGGATTTGATTTTCCCCCTTTGCATGTTTTGTCTCTCCAGCCAGATTGTGACTTCCCTGCTCTCAAGGAAGTCACAATCTTCTCCTCCTCCTGCCCCCACTAAAGTTTAGCTGAGCACAGCAGGGCTCAGGAAACACTTGGGCCTTTGGCCTGTCCAGAAGGTGGAAATCATCTAATTCAACTACCTCATTTTTCAGACGAAGAAACTGTTGCCTAAAGAGGTTAAGGGACCTGCTTGAGGTCCCTTGAGGGAGCTAATGACAATCAAGGCCCAGAGCTAGGTTTCCAGGTCAATGCTCTTTCTGCCAAGTCAAAGGGAAATTGATTGCAAAGTCTTCTTGAAAATGCTAAAATATCCCTACCCTCTGGCCCAGAGATTCCACTTCTAGGTATGCACCCAAAGAGCTCACTGTTAAAAAATAAAGGTCTCACACCCACCAAAATATTTACAGCGGCACATTTTGTAGTAGCAAAGAACTCGAAATAAGGTAGATGCCCATCAATAGGGGAATGGCCAAATCAATTGTGATACATGATTGCAATGGAATGTTACTGGCCTAAAGAAACCATGAATGGGTTGAATACAGAGAAGCATGGGAAGGTTTATGTGAACTGATACAATGTAAAATGAGCAGAACCAGGAAAATGATACACACAGTGACAATGGTGTAAATGGAAACAGCGACAGAGTGATTAATACTGAATGCTGCCCAATTGTAATAACCAAGACTGATCCCAAAGAAGAGAGGTAAGAAGGTACCTTCCTCCACTTCTGTTTGACTCTTTGTAAGTGTGGAGGATTATGAGTGTGGAATAGAATACATGGCATATAATATCAGGCATTCGATCTGAGAAAACCCCTGGATATTCATACCACTTGGATGATCTGGGGGTTACCAACTACAAGCTTTCCAGTGGGATAGAGGCCCACGCCAGGCCTTTGCATGTTCCCTGCTGACATACTCTCCAGGTCCTTGGGTCACTGTCATCTAGACTGATGGTGCACCATTAGGATTTCTGGGCCTTGCTATTCTTATCTTGCAGCTGTGCTTTTCAACACGTGTTGTCTTCCCTAATTATTGTGGAAGCTCCTCCAGAGTGAGGATTGTCCCCTTTTTTCTGTTTTTATCCCTAGCACTTAGCAAAGTGCTTGGCACATAGGAAGAAATTCATAAATACCTTTCCATTCATTCATTCATTCATTCATTCATTCAGTTAGTATGCTGAATTGCCGGTACGTAATAGTTTTGCTGAACTGCTTCTATTCTTCCTTTTTACGCTTTGTTATAAAGTATGGTTCTGAAGGGGAAATAGGGAGAAATACAATGGGAAAGGTAGGTGATATAAAAACAGAAAATATCAATAAAATTATCTTTTAAGTAGAATTTTAAAAACCCTTTTTGAGACTATTGGGACTTCTTGAGACTATTCCACATGAGCCCCCTCTGGAATGAACTGGTCTCCCGTAATCACACTGCCCTGGGAGGACCACTGATGTGTCAACAAACTCCCAACATCCATCTTCACTAAGAAGAGGCTTCCTCCTTATGGTCATGGAACAAAACTATGTTGTCCCTCTTTTTGCTCTCCAGAAGTGGTCTTTCTCAACTAGAATCATAAGACCAAAGGATCCAGATTTAGAAGGGATCTCAATCCTTCCAAGCCCCTCCTTTAACAGACAGGGATACTGAGTACTTCAGCAGATGAGACACTTGCCCATGACCACAAAGTGGCAGCAGTCAGGTTCGAAGCCACTGGACTGGAGAGACTAGGGGCACCATGATGTCCTGAAGTACTGGATGTGCAGTGAGAAAGATCTGAGTTCAAATTCTGCCTAAGACACTTATTAGTTGTGTGACCTTGGGCAGGTCATTTAAGCTCTGTTGGGCTCAATGGACTCAATTGATCTACAAGGTCCCTGCTAGCTCTAACTCTACGATCCCCAAGGAACATAAATTTTGATCTAGAAAACTTCACAAGAAATCTTGGAGTTTAAGGGCTACATTTCTTTCTTAAGGACCACCCCTTGAACCCAATTCTCTCTGGTTCTCATTGATTGCCCAACAATAAGTCCCAGGACAAGCCCCACTTAATGATCATTGTTTGGGCCCTGACTGGCTCAGAGTAAACATAAACAGCAATGGGTTCTGTTTTGGCCAGAAACCCTGAGGTCTTCCCCTTCTAGACTGATTTTTTTTTTGACTAGGTAAAAGAGGCCATTCTCTGTCTCATCTCTTACCTAGCCTTTATCACTGAATGGGTGTTGCATCAGTCAAACTGAGACCTGGGAAAGACCTTAGCTTAAAAAGGCCAAGGTCCCCCACTGCATCCAGGGCCACCTCCAGTTGTACTGATCTATATCTGGCCACTGGACCCAGATGACTCCAGAGGAGAGAGTGAGGCTGGTGACTTTGCCCAGCCCTCCCTCCCTCACATCCAATTCATCTGCAAGTCATGGCATCACCTTCCTCATGCCATGATCTTCTTCGAAAACAAAAGACAAACAACAACAACAATGTTCCGGGCCCCACGCTAAGCACTGGAACCAGTCCTAATACATCAGATCGGAAAGGCAGAAGGAAGTTTCACTTGCTGGGTGAATTTAAAATGTTACTCACCCCTGGATAAGCCTAAAGCCATCAAAAAATCAAAAAAAAGGAGGAAAAAGTCTCCTTGGTAAAATGGCGGAATAAGGCAAGAACTCACCTGGACTCTCCCAAATTCACCTCCAAACAACTATACAATAGTCCCTCAAAAGACCTCCTGGGTACAAAATATTCAAAGCAGCTCTGTTTTTGTGGTGGCAAAGAGATGGAAACCAAGGGGCTGGCCATGAATTCAGGAATGGCTGAACAAATTATGGCAAATGAATGTAATGGAATACTATTGAGCTATAAGAAATGGAAGGGGATGATTTCAGAGAATCCTGGGAAGACTTGTATGAACTGATTCAAAAGTAATGTGCAATGAACAATGTATGGGATGACACTGTAAATCAAACAACTTTAAAAGACTTGAGAACTATGTTCCATATGATGACTACTTATGACCCCAGAGGACCAATAATGAAGCAGGCTACCCATCTCCTGAAGGAGAGATGATGGACTCAGGATGTAGAACGAGACACAGAGACATTTTGGACATGGCCAATGCAAGAATTTGTTTAGTTTGACTATGCTTATTTGTTACAAAAATGCACATATGTTCTTATTTCAAGGGGGGGAGAGAGAGAGAGAGAGAGAAGTGCAAGGGACAATTGTTTATGTAATTGTTAATTAAAATTGTTTATGCAATTGTTAATTGCATAAAATTTAATTAGATTTTTTAAAAATATGACTTACCCAGACTGTGTCACCCTGAGACTTGTTGCTCAGTTGCATATCTCAGCTGTCAAAGGCTGTCTGTTCTAACATTCTGGCCACACTCCAGGTCATAGCTGACTTTATCCCAGATGTGATGAGGTCAGGAGGCTAGAAAGGGAAGACAACATTCCAGGAGAGAGCAGAAAGTTTGACATTTGTTTGGGCCCTTGAGTGTTTACTGCAGGGTGGGGGGTGGGGAGAATAGAGCCCTAAGCCCCAAGCCTGGGGTAAGTAAGAGCCTGTCTTAGCATTCCTCCTCCCCTGTCAGGGACCTGAAATTCCACCATTAGTCCTTCCTCCCTCTCAATGAAGATTTGCACCTTGAACACAGAAGATAATAAATGCTTATTGATTCAGATGGAATTGAACTGAACTGTGAGATCCTCCACTCCCAGGCCTCTCGTGGTGAAGCCATCCGTTGTCCTTTACTCATCGTGATTCTCGGGAGCTTTCTGGCTAACCCAGCCTGAACCTCCCCACTGCTCCCTCTCCCCTCTCCACCTCCCCCAGGTCTGGTCAGAAGGTGATAAAAAGGACTCAGTTTTGCCCGCCCAGTCCTGGTGCTATAAGCAGAACAGAGATGGAAACCTAGGGGTTCCTAAGCCCAGCCCATCAACCTTTCTCATCTACATACCTACAAGTCTACAGCCTCCAACTCCTATCATTAAGTAAAAAGCAGGGCACAGAGTCAGGAAGACCTGAATTCAAATCCTGCCTCACATACTTGTTAGCTGTGTGACTCCATGCAAGTCAGTTAACCTCTGTTGGCCGTAGTTTCCTCATCTGTAAACTAAGAAATATAATAACACCTACCTTGCAGGGCTGTTGTGAGGACCGAATGGCATAACATATGTACAGTGCTTTGTAAATCTTAAAGCACCATACAAAGGTTAGCTACTTCTCATAGTAGATGGGGAGGATCTGATACCCTGTAGTAAGAAAACTTCTCTTTGCAGAATGATTCTCCACCAAAGCTACGTTAGGTACATGTGCAGGCTCAGAGAGATGGGACCATGCTTTGTCTTGCCTGGTTCCCCCAGTCCTCCTAGGGGCTTACATGCAAGCCCTCAGCCCCAATCCTTCTGACTTAGGCCCTGCTATCTGCTAGAAGACCCCTTCTGACATAGACTTTCAGGATACCTGCCCCTTCTCTATTATCAACCTTCCTCAAAGCTGATGGTCTGTTTTTCAGGTGCTTTCTAGATGTATGACAACTAAGTCATTCAACCTCTCTAAGACTCAGTACTCCTTCCTGTAAAATGGGGTGTAGTTAGGACCAAAAGAGATATAATGTCTGTAAAGTAACTGAATCCCTTCAAGCACTCATTACGGACATGTGAGATGTTATTTTTCCTGCTGCTTGGTAAAGAAGTAGGGTACAGTAAATGGAGTTCTAGATTTTGAGTCAGAAAACCCAGAATCAAATCCTGGCTCTGCTACTCACTACTTACGTGGCTTGGGGCAGGTCCCTCTTCCCTCTCTGGCCTTCACTTTCCTCATTTCCAAAATGGGGGGAGGGGGAAGTAGATGGTCTCTAAGGCCCCTTCCGGCTCTCAATTATATGACCTTGAGAACCTACCCAAATCATGGATGTTGTCTGTTAAGTGCCCATTTTACAGATGAGGAAACCGATGCCAATTGACGTTAAATTACTTGCCCAGGGTCACACCAGGGGTCAGTGGCAGAGCTGGGATGACAGTCTTTGCAATAACCTGATGGCAGTTTATTGTGTAGGGCCCATTAGTCTGAACTTGGAGTCAAGAAACTTGGATCCCAACTTGTACTTTCTCACCTAGTCATCGCCTATCTGATCTTTCTAGGCCTCAGTTTTCTCATCTGGAAAACGACAAGGCTGGACCCAATGATCTACAAGGTCCCTTCAATGTCTAAATCCATGATCCTATGTCCTCTACTGAGCAGGGCGAAGGGAACGAGCATTCATGAAGCACTTCCTGTGGGCTAATACTCACCATGTGCTTAGCTCTTTACAAATACTATCTTATTCGATCCTTGTAGCAACGCGGTGAGGTAGGTGCTATTATCATCCCCATTTTACAGATGAGGAAACGGAGGCAAACGGGGTTAAGCGACTTGCACAGGATCACACAGGTAGTAAGTGTCTGAGGCCACATTTGATTCTATTCCCCACCCCTCTTCCACCATTTTACAAATGATAATTGAGGCCCAGCGAACTCACACAAGTCACGAAGCTAGCTATAATAACACAGTGGGAATGAAAACTCTGTTCCCTGGAGTTCTAGCCCAGGGATCTTTCCCGTGTTCCACGGAGGGCAGACTCTTCAGAGACATCAAGACGAGACAACCATCTCCTGCCCCTACAAATTAAAACAACAACAACTCTCCCATACAGCCCGATTTATTTCCTGAAATCCCTTAGAGACTTTCAATCCCCAGGGAGAGATAAAAGAGGCCCTGGGAAATGAGCCATGCAGACAGAGCTATCAGCTGTGAGGGCGAAATGACTGGTCCCATGGTGGGAGGCGCAGCCCCAAGCACCGAAGGTGGCTAAATGAGCATCACAGGGACCGAAGATGAACTCCCCACCTTAGAAACAAAGGGGGCTTTGGATAATTATCTCCAACACTTAGTAATAGAGCCGTAATCTCCTTGCAGGCAGGGCCAGTTTATACTTGTGCGCCCTCCTTTACAGGGTGGTCATGGGGAAAGGGTTTTGTAATCCTTAAAGCACTATCATAGTGGGAGTTGTTATTGTGATCGTTATCATTATTATTAATTATTCAATATGAGGAGCCTGACATCAGGAGGTGGTAAGTTACCACCCTGAAGTCACACTGGTTGGTTGGTGGCTGTCCTTTGTTCCCAAAGGGGACCAACCTGACATCACTGGTAGGGTAAAGTCGCAGGGCGTCTGCCTGGTGGATCGCACCAATACGAGCTCAGAATGCTCTGCCACAGGTCGGGCACAGATAGTCTATGTGAACATTTGGGGTGGGTTCTCTAAATCAGCGAGTTTCTTTTGAGCTACTTCAATTCTGCTTTGTTCATAGCAGACAGCGTCTTCTCTGATGTGGGTACACCATGCTGGGCAGTCCTTTGCCAGCATCTCTCACGGCGCACAATCAATTCCAGAGTTCGTAAGAGAGACCTTGAGAGTGTCCTTATATTGCTTTTTCTGATCACTGTGAGTTTTAAACAAGCCTCAGTTTGGCATTCAAACAACGTGGCCACCCTGTCATGGTTGCGCTCTCTGCGTAGAGTTTGAATGCTTGGCAGTTTGGTTTGAGAAAGGACCTCAGTGTCTGGTATCACCTGGTATCATCCTGCCAGGTGATCTTCAGAATCTTCCTAAGACGATTCAAATTTCCATAGTGTTCTCAACAGACTGTCATCAATCAGTGCTGAAGCCATTGACTTTACCTTGGGTTGAAGTCAATTTCTCTCTAGCTGAAGTTCCAACTGAAGAAGAGGTATTGAACACCTTTTGTGTGGCAAAGTACCTAGTGCTGATTCTATTCCACCTGAGATTTACGGGGGATGGGGGGGGTTCATTGCGCATACAAAAACTCACTGAAATTTTCCAGGTTATATGGCAAAAGGAGGTTATCCCCCAGGAGTTCAAGGATTCCTCCATTGTCCATTTCTATCATCCATCTCTAAGATCACATAGATAATCATCAGAAGAGCTGGGCATAAGACCAAAGTGGGCAGGTAGGTGGCACTGTGGATAGGAAGCTAGAACTGGAGTCAGGAAGACCCGAGTTCAAATCCAGCCTCAGATGATAACTAGCTATGTGACCCTAGGCAAGTCACTTAACCCCATTAGCCTTAGTTTCCTCATCTGGAAAATGACCTGAAGAAGGAAATGGCAAACCACTCCAGCATCCTAGCCAAGAAAATTCCAAATGGGGTCACAAAGACTCAGACACAATTGAAATAACTGAATAACAACAAGACCGAGGATCTGTCACTCTATACCCCGTTCTCTTTCCTCTGCACCACACCACCTCTAAGAAGGGGCATAAGGGGCAGCTAGGTGGTACAGTGGATAGAGCGCCAGCCCTGAAGCCAGGACAACCTGAGTTTAAATCCGGCCTCAGACCAGACACTTGACACTTACTAGCTGTGTGATCCTGGGCAAGTCACTTAAACCCAATTGCCTAAAAAAAAGAAGAAGAAGAAGAAGAAGAAGGGGTATAGTGTAGCAGCAATGAAGTTCTGGGGCCATTAAGACAAATATCACCTCTCTAGACACATCTAGGTTGAGGTATGGGCCATTTCTGTCCTTGTCTGTCCTGGACCCTCCCCTAACTGGACTCTGGGGTGGGAACCTTTTGAGCATTTAAAAGGATGGTGACAAAATAGCCCTATATTTTCCACTAATCAAATGTTCTTCCCAGAATGCTTCTGGCCATTTGTGAGAATTAATATGGAGCGTAGGGCTCCAGGCCATTCATACCTCTCTCTTTCTCCACCTCCTCAGCAGATCCTCTGGACCATCAGCATATTGGTCCTGGAAGCCTGGGGGAAAGATTCCTCCCCCCAACCCTGTACCCGTGGCTACCCCCAAACACCTCCACCGGTTCACTTGGCAGCACTGTGGGGTGGGAGATCTAACAGTTCCCACCTGCCACCTAGAGCCACAGTAGACAGACCAGACATAGGAGAAAAGCCTGGTACCATGGAAAGAGCTCAGTTCTGGGAGACCAGAGGGCAAGAATCTACAGTCTTGCCTTGTCTCTAGCTCCCTGAGGGACTTTGGGCAAGCTTCTTCATTCCTCTGGCCTTCAGTCTTCCCAGCTGTTGAATGAGGAAGTCAGACTTGACCAGTGCTGAGATCTCTTCCAGCTCTACATTTCTAGCATTTCTATTTCTAATGCTCAATGAGAACTGAGCAACACCTAATTGAGGTCACATTTAAAATGGCATCAGTCTGTCCGTTAATAGGATGAGTCCACCAATGTTCTATATTCACACACACATGCACGCATACTCACTCAGCTCTGTAATGAAGGAGGAACGGACCTCAGCCTTGCCCTTGAGGAGCTCACAGCACAAAAAAACCTCAAGAAAAGAGTTCACACTCTCCCATAAAACGGAAGCGGATAGTGGAGTGGATTAAGAAGCAT